CTTCGGCTCAGGTCATGATCTTACTGTTCCTGGTTCCCAAGTTCAAGCTCCACATCCGGCTCTGAGCCTGGAGCCTGTTTCAGATTCTGTCTGTCTCTGCCCCTCCCCCACTAGTGCGCGTGCGTGCGCGTGCGCGCGCTCTCTCTCTCTCTCTCTCTCTCTCTCTCTCTTTCTCGCTCTAGCTCTTGCTCTCAAAAATAAACTTTAAAAAATTTTTAAATAAATAAAATTTTAATAAAATTAAAAGCGACTTTGGACAGAATTGCCCCCATAATTTCATGGGTATTAAGGCCTGGAGGGGAAAGGCCACCCTCCCTGTATTTGTGTTTGTGAAAACCTCCTACAAATTCCACAACTGTAGCTTAGTGAGATTAAGATTCGTACAATCGAGCAATAATAACACAGACCGATTACAAGGGAAACAATGCAGGTGTGTTCCACCATTCATAGTAAAAGGAAAGAGAAACAGAAAGGAACCGTAAAACCCAGGCGAATCCCGGTTAGGTTCTCGCTTCTGTTTTTCCCCAAGTGCGTCTAATCGGCAAGCCACCAGTCCCTCGTTTCCTTTTGTTGCTATAACAATAACTCCGTGCATTTCAAACGCCCGGCAATAGAAGAGGAAGAATAATAATGTGAAACGGAGGAATTACATCTGAATGGCATTATTCCCGGCTTTATTAAATTTGCTCTTACAAATGTTTATGAAGTCAGAGTTGGCTCTCCCCCAAGTAGCAAATTCCACATTAATAAGCACTGGGGGTTGGAGAGCTGGAAGGAAGGAGGAAATAAAGATCCTTCGGTCCAAGGTCTTAGGCTTCACGTTTGTTTTCTCCCAAATTAACTCTCCCTGCAGCTGCTTGAGCCAAGACTCGCTCAGCTTTGAACCTTATTAAAACCGCGAAACCGCAGTTTCCCTGCTGAGCGTGGGCGAGGCAGCCGGGCTGAGCCTAAAGGGATCTAGAACGCCGTCCCACGCCTCAGCCTCGAGGGCCGGGACCCTGAGGCTCAGCGAGGGGAGGGGCTTCTCCGCAGGCCGGCTCCCGCCGGCCTCCTGACCCCGGCCTCCTCGCAGGTGCCCCCCCCCACCCCGTTTCCGTTTCCGAGCAAATGCACGTGGCTGTTGGCACTTACTGCCAACTAAATGCAACCCATCCGTGCTCTGCAATGTCTTCTGGAATCGTTTGGACCCAGCAATCGAAATCCTTTTGATTTCCAACTGAGCAGGCCACACTCTTGATGCCCTAGTTGATTGACATCAGGGAGGGCGTCAGCATGGGGCGCTGCTTGTGGCCTCCGGACCCCGGCACCTTTCACATGCCGCCGCCACACTGGGATTCCTGATCTTACTGGTCTCTCTGCCCAGTGTGGCCAGACAACGGGTTTACCCAGAGCCTGCTTTGCAACCAGGGCCCAGACAGTGACTTAGGCTCCATCACTGTGATGTGGGCCTGGGGGGAGGAAGCAGCCCTGGGGTACATTGCAGTGGAAAGGGCAGCTGCGCGATGTTCAGCGTGGGGGGTGGGGGAGGCTGCAGTGGCTACAAGTACCTGGGACACGATTGGCGGCAGCTGTGGGTTCTTCAGGTGCAGTGGGAGCATCTCTGTGCAGGGGGAGCATCTCTGTGCAGGGGGAG